CAGAACAAAGAATTCAACCATTGTTTTGCTTTAAGTTGCCCATTATAAGAGGTGGATTATGGCTTATGCACCTGACACCTCCTAACTTTGGGATAGTTCATTCACCAAGGGCTTTTGAAGCTCAGGCCCATGTACTGCTGCATCATTAAATGAACATAACACCACATTTTTCATTTCATGAAGCTCTGAACAGTCTCCATCTGGAAGGCATTAAACACATGCCTATTTACAGACGTGTTAACCCCCATTTTAATTGCTGTACAACGCTCAATTGCTGAGCAAGATCTTCTTGTGAATCTATCACAGAGTAGGCTTTGCCATTTCCTGAATGAAGAATTTACTTAATTGGGGGTTATGTCTGTAGAACTCTTCTCCTTCCCACTTTGAATCAAAGCTGTGTCTCTATATCATGTGATACTGGAAGTAAAAGTGAAGTGCTTAGGAGAAAGATTTCTTTTTTGAAGTAAAGTTTCTGTTTCAGACTTTTCTAAAATAAATATTTTAGGGCTATTCCATGCAGGATCATAGATTTTAGAGATGGAATAGACCTTATTTGTTCCCACTCTCATTTTACAGATGAGGAAACTGAGGCCCACAGATGTTGAGTGACTTACCCACACACAGTAAATGGCAGAGTAGGGATTGAATGGTATTTTATCTGTTTAAATCCTTTCCCTTCCATTTGAATCAGTTATGTCTATATCATGTGGTATATGAAGAATAAAAATGAAATGCTTGAGAGAAAGATGTTTTTGTTTCTTCATTCAAGGATTTCTATGTACATCCCAAATCTGAACTTATTCATTGAGCCCCACTTTCTAGGATAAAATGATACTGAAAAAGGTCCCATACAAAATCATAGCTATAACTTTTTTTTTGCCCCTTAACCGTAATTTTTTTTTTAATTAACAAAAATCTATTTTCTTTCCTTCCCACTTTCCCCACCATTGGAAAAAGAAAAACAACACCCTCATAACAAATATGCATAGTCTAGCAAAACAATTTCCTACATTGGCCACCTCCAAAAACATGTCTAAATCTGCATTCTGAATTCATCTGCTTCTCTGTCAGGAGATGAATAGCATGTTTGTCATTAGTCCTATGAAATCATGGCTAGTAATTGTGTAGACCAGAGTTCTTATGTCTTTCAAAGTTGTTTATTTTCACAATGTTGCTGTATAAATTGTTCTCCTGGTTCTGCTTACTTCACTCTGAATCAGTTCATACAAATCTTCCCAGGTTTCTCTGAAGCTGTTCCTTTCCTCATTTCTTACCTCACTATAATATAAGATTACATCAATATACCATAATTTGTTCAGCCATTTCCCATTTAATGGGTGGTCCCCTAGTTTTTAGTTCTTTACCACCACAAAAAAAGTTGCTATAAATATTTTTGCATATATGGGTCATTTTCCTCTTTCTTTGATGTCTTTGGGGGTATAAGCCTAGTAGTAGGAGAAAGGTGTTTTTGAAGTTGTTTTTGTTTCAGACTTCTAATTTTCAAAGTAAACATTTTCAGGGCTTTGGGTAGGATCATAGATTTAGAGGTGGAGCAGGTCTTTATCATCAGTTCCAACTCTCTCATTTTACAAATGAGGAAACTGAGGCCCAGATTTGCTGTTAAGTTACTTTCCCATAAATAGTGAATGGCAGAACAGAAATTTAAATGCATGTTCTCTTACTACAAAACCAGCATTCTCTCCACTTTGCCATGCTGCCTTCCCCATCCCCAACCCTATTTTGCTTTTCTGTAGTAGACACAATAAGGACAAGAGTGATTTATTCTTCCCATTAATTGTATTTCAACCATTGTCTTCCCTCCCAGCATTGGAGGGGATTTGCATCCTACTAAATCAACTAACGGTCCTGCCTAGTGGTACACTGGGCACTGGGTAGATAATTAATAAATGCTGTTGACTGAATGACTGACTTCCTAGCTAGGGGAGACTTCCTAGAGAGGATGAGACTTAAGGAGCTGCTCCAAGGAAAAGAAAGGAAAGAGAGAATTGTAAAATTATTGAAATTGATCAAACGGGAGAGCAGGAGGAGCCAAAGAAAATGAACTTGTTTCCAGGTAATTGTGTTTTTATTGTGATAGGAGACATCATTCCAGAAATACTTGTACAATAAGGGCAGGATTGAAACCTCTGCTGCTTGGCATATCAGCCACTGAAAGCATTGCAGATATTAATCTCAGGCATTCATTCTTCAGTCCAGCTCCCTAGAAGTAGAAAGTCACAGATGCAGATAGTATGCCCTGCCCTTTCCTTGACTATTAGCATATACTTAGCATAGTATGCCTTCTCTTTTTTTTTTTATTTTTCCAGTTTCTCACCTTAATCCACATGCCATTCTCCTGGCAACACATCCTCCACACCCCAGAATATATTTCCTTCTTCTAACGTCACTTTCTACCTCAGGGGGGAAAAACTATAGACTCATGGTCCTCTAGAATCTACCCTCATTGGTATAATTATTATACATACATGATGTCTTAGGGACAGGAAAAGAGCATCTTTACCAACTCTTAGGATCATAGAAATAATACAAATAATATATTATAATAACAACAACAACAATAATAATAGTAACTAGCATTTATATAGCACTTAAAGGTTTGCACAGTGCTTTACAAACATTATCTCATTTTAGCCTCCACCTAACCTGGGAGGTAGATGCTATTACTATCCCCAATTTACAGATGTGAAAACTGAGACAGATATTAAGTAACTTGCACAGAGTCACATAGCTTGTAAGCATCTCGAGTTCAAACTTGAACTCAGGTCTTCCTGACTCCTAATCTAGCATTCTATCCACTATACCACCTATCCACAAATAGAGTTGGAGAATTTTTCTTCTCCACTAAATCCACCCCTTCTTCAAACTTCCCTGTTTTTATTTGGGCTACCACCATCCTTCCAATCCACCAGATTCACAACTTTGAATCGCCCTTGAGACTTCCATTTTTCCCAAATCCAATCCATTGTCAAGTTGAATCCATACCCTCTTGCAGGTTTTCATGAATTCTCATCTGTACTACTATATTTCGCTGTATAATCATCACAGATTTTATGGCAAATTTTTTGCCAAAAACTGGGGTGCAACCATTATGTGAAGCTTTAAAAATCATGCCAGCATTACTAAAAAGTCATTTATTACTAAACTGTCTTTGGTGCAAGATTATATGTTGAATGATGATGAATGATGATGAATGATGAATATATGTTAATATTGGGAAGATACAAGCCTTACCATCTCACATGACTTTCTCATGGCAGCTGTGCCTGCCCTCCCTCTTTCTCCATGCACCTATGGCTTTTCATTGGATTGAGTGAGTGACAATACTGGTAGTACTGCAGCACTCTAAACAAGCCACACAAGTTGGTGCCATACACTGAGAGTTCTAGGCTTGTGCTCATAATGCTCAAGAGATAAATGAGTATCCATATGCCACTGGTGAATACATTGCTGCTCTGTTTACCTTTTAAGTGACATGATGAACAGAATTATACCATGCCACGGTTATGCAACGAAAGGTTCTAAACCAATTTTTAGACTGAAGAAACAGGGTGTGATGATTATGTGGTGAAATATGGTATTGCTGCAGTCTCCTAATTGGCCTTCCTGCTTTTAATTCCTCTTATCTCTAGTCTCCCCACCATATGGTTGCCCAAACAATATTCCTAATGGACAAGCTTGGCTCCCTTGATCAAAGATCTTTAGCTACTCCCTATTACTTCTAAGATAAAGTGTAAACTCCTCAACTTGGCATAGAAAATCCTTTACAAGCTGGTTTCCAACCTACTTTTCTAGACTAATTTTGTCTTAGCCTGCCTTGATGAACTTTATATTCCTGCCAAATGGGCCCACTTGCTATTCCCTGAACATCCCATTCCATTTCCTGTTCCCATGCCCAAAGGCCTTATGCTAGGAATGAACTCCCTCCCCCTTCCTTAGAATTCCTGTCTCCTTTCATGGGTCAATTCATGTATCACCTCCTATATGGAGCTTTTCCTGCTCTTCCATTTACATTTGGGTTTTTTCCCTGCCATAAATTATCTTATATTCACTTACACTTGTTCTATCCTCCTAATCAAGGGTAAGCCCCTTAAGAACAGAGACTGTTTTTCATTTTGTATTTTTATCCTTAAGCAGCTGGGTGGCTCAGTGGATTGAGCACTGGGCATGGAGTCAGGAAGACCTGAGTTCAGATCCAGCCTCAGACACTTACTAGCTGTGTGACCCTGGCCAAGTCACTTAACCTGTGTTTGCCTTAATCCACTGGAGAAGAAAATGGCAAAATGCTCCTCAAAATGCTGTACCAAAAAAACTCCATGGACAGTACGGTCCATGGACTCAGGAAGAGTTGGACATGACTAAACAACAACAAATTTCTATTATCAGTACCTAAAATTGGGTTTTGTCATAGTAGAGACTGAATAAATGCTTATTCAATTATTCAATGCTTATATTGAATTGTTTTAAATTCTCCGGTTAGACAGGAAGCTCCATGAGGGATATTTCTTTGTATTTTCCACAGTGTCCAGCTAAGTGCCATGTGCAGAGTTAGGTGCTCAATAAACAATGGGTGAATGCTAGGGGCCTCTGGAGTTTCATGGGGATCAACCTCTGTGCAAAAAAAAAAAAGTCTTACAGTACATAAATTCTGATTTTAAAATTGTTACTAGTAGAAGGAATGAAGTATTGAGTTACCCTTTAAAGCAAGGTTTACTAGCCTGGGGTCCATGAGCTTGTTTTTGAAAAATGTTTTGATGACTTTATTTCAATATAATTGATTTCCTTGGTAATCCTAAATATTTGGTTTTATTAATTTTAAAACTCTATTTTGAGAAAGGAGTCCATTGGCATCACTAGACAGCTAAAGGTGTAAAGGTTAAAAACCCCTGCTCTAAAAGTGTGGGGTAGGATAAAACTAGGACCAGAATTATGTTTAAGAAAGTTCTAAAAGCAATTTGTTAACCCTGTATTCTTTTCTTCAGGAAAAACTGTGTAGAAAATCTAATGGATGAAGATGAGAAGGACAGAGCAAAGAGGTAAGAGCTGTTCTTACATACATTTATATTCTTTTCCCCAGAATTTCACCTTTCCTTACTATTATTTTTTTCTCTTCAGGGTTTGCTAGAATATTGGTTCCTAATCTGACACCCTAACTCCATTTTCTAATAGTTTCATCCTTGGGATTGCATCTTCTCCGTAGACTTGGCATGCCAAACTGCTTCCTGTTTGAATATTTGTTTTTGATTCATGATAGGTCTTAAGACTTTTAAAAATGATTGTAATAGGTAGGTTCTAATGATGTGAACACTTACTCCATGAGTGACTTTAAGCAAACCACTTAATCTACCTAGACCTTGGTTTCATCATCTATAAAATGAGGGGGGTTAGACTGATTGATCAATAAGGTCACCTTTGGCACTAACCCAATGGTTCTAATTTAAACCAAGCTCCTGCCCATTTTTCCTAGGCAGCCCCATTTTGATCCTCCAGCCGCCTTGTTAATAATTTATAGAAGCATTGAGAGACTATGAAACCATGCCAATGTATAGATAAGTAGTCCGCCAGCAACAGATGTGTTGACTCAAGTCTCTCTTTTCATGGGGCTGCCTGGTTGCCACACCCAACCTGCACCTTATGACACCAGGAGGCACAATGTGGACAATATTGTCCAACCTCCAAGAGAAGGAAGTCATTTCGTCCCTATCCCACTAGCAGTATAGTTGCAAACAGCTAAGGCGAGAGTGGATGGTAAGGAAGCAGAAATACCAAGCATAGATAACTTTTGAAAGAAGTTTAGCAATGAAGGAAAGAAAAGAGATGAGAAAGTAGCTGAATGGCATAGAAGGGTCAATGGAAGGCTACTTTAGGTTTAGAGAAGCCTAAGCCTTCTTGGAAAGGAACCAGTAGAAAAGGAGATGATTGATGATGATGATGATGATGATGATGATGATGATGATGATGATGATGGTAGCTAACATTTTATAGCACTGACCATGTGCCAGGAATGTGCTAATTACTTAAAATGATTATTTCATCCAATCTTCACTACAATACTGGAAGATAAATGCCATTATTAATCCCATTTTACAGTTGAGGAAACTGAGGCAGGAAGAGGTTAAGTGATTTGCCCAAGGTCACATAGCTAGTAAGTGTCTGAGGATGGATTTGAACTCAGGTCTTCCTGACTTCATACCCAGCTCTCTATACACTGTGTCACTTAGCTACTCAATACATGAGAGAGAATGGGGATGCCTGCTGTAATGAGGCCCTGGAGATGGAAGAATGGAATGGAATATCAGGATTAGCCTTAGTGAGGAATAGGAATACCTCTTCTGTGGCCAGAAAAAGGAAGAGAGAGTATAAATAGTGATGATGAGAAGTTTTGAAAAATGGAGAAGGTGAGAGAGTGGGCGGTGGTAATCAAACTCACATTGGAGAGTGTCAATCTCAGTGAAGTAGGAGACCAAGTTATCTGCTATAAGGGTAGGGAGTGAGGGCTGCAAATGGTAGTGGAGAAAAGAAAAGCTTTGGAACAGTCACAATAGGGAATATGGTTAGTCAGCTGAGCCGTACGCATAATAAATTTAGAGAGAGTAAAATCTGCTTGATTTTGTGATTTGTCTACAGTTATGCTCAATGGCCTGAGAATTTTTATTGAGAAACTGGAGTGTTGGGGTTAGTTAGAATGAGTATTAGCAGATAAAGGATAATGGAAGGTCAGCGAAGCAAGGAATTCTAGGGTGGTGATTTGTGAAACATAAAAAGCAGCAGATCATGGGCTAAGCATGGAGGCAAATAAAGACAGAAATGGGGAGATAAAATGGGGTGATTAGGGCTAGATAAAAGCCCCAAAGATCGTGTTGAAGGTAGAAAGCGATTGAAGGACTGAGGATTGAAGGTTATGGTTGGAGAATGGAATATCAGTGTTCAGGATCCTAGAAATAGTATTCCAGGAAAGAGGTCTCTGGTACAATCCTGCTGGTGTGTGGTTAAGTGGAAAGGAGGTCATTGTAGGGCATATTCTGTATTTGTGATAGTCATCATTGAGGCAGTGGGGTGGGAGGAAAGGGAGACTACAAAAGAAATACAAGATATGATCACTCTCCAGATAGGAAAACAAACTAATGCCTATATAAAGTACTTAGATTAGATATCCATATGAGACAGTTTAAAATTCAGAGATAAAATGAATGACATACAAGTCAATGCTTGTAGGAGTTCTTTGTGACCAAAGAAAGCAAGCTTATCTATGGAAACATGTCAGATTGTAAAACAAATTTATCACTTACCATCAGCCCAATTGATGAAAATGTTGAGTTTTTTTTTTCTGATTTACCTTCAGTCACTAGCAGAGTAGTTGATTGGCATTAGTTAAAAATTAATTGATTTTCCTTTTCACCTCAATTGGGAAAATGTGATTCCACAAACCCCTCAGGTGATAATCTATGACTTCATAATTTGTGCTTCATTTCTCTAGAAAGCATCCTTGAGAGCCCAGGATGATTCCTGCACTCCCTAATTGAGTGGATGCCAGTTCTTACACATAATATAGTTGTTAACTTTCACTGTCTATAAAAAGACTCAGGTGGGAGGGAGGAATGGAAACAGTTCAGACGAGAAATCCTTCAAGGGAAGTGGCAGCTGAACATACCCAGCAAGAGTAGAAATAGGAGTTTGGGAGAGAAGGCCCTCAGTTATCAAGGGTCTGAGGGTTGACTCTGTTTTCTGGATTTTTCCCTTTTACAGTAAAACAAACTGAGGTTGTTTACTGAGGTACCATAGTAGACTAGTAATACATCATAGTATCATATGTTTTGAGCTGGAAGGAACCTAGGAGGCCATATCTCCTATTTCTAGAGGCCAATTTCCTCATTTTACAGGTGAAGAAACTGAAACCCAGGGGGCCCCAAGATCTTCTTAATGTGTCACAGGTATTAAGCATCTGCAGCAGGATTTGAACAAAAATCCTTGATCTTTTCCACTGTACCACACTATTTATTTGTGGCATCAAGGAGGAAGAGTGGATAGTGATTGGAGTCAGATCTGGTCTCAGACACTTACTAGCTTTGTGACCTTGGCAAGTATTTAATCTCTCTCAGCCTCTTCAGCTGTAAAAAAGGGATTATAGTAGCACCTACCCTCCCAGGGTTGTTTTGATGATAAAATGAGATGATAAATTTAAAGGGCTTCGCAAAATTAAAATTCTATCCAAATGTCAGGTGTTTTTATTAAGTATTTAGCATCTACAAAATGCTCTGCACTATGGACTATAACATGATTCCTGCCTTCGAAGAGTATCCCCAGAACTAGAAACAACACCCAAATCAATTAGAGAACTACACAAGAAATGATACAATTAAATATAAAGATGTATGGTACAGATATTTATCAAAAGCTCAGTGTGGGGAAGTGAGATAAGTAGTTACAACTTGGGCATGGCCTTCCTCCCGGGAAAGTCATATGGCTCTTCTGTAGACAAATTCTCTCACTTCATTGTTTCATTTCTTTGTCTGTGAGCTCAATAGGTTAGAAATGAAAAGTTATTACAGTCGGTCGTGAAAATCATAGTCCAATTTATCAGTTTGTGTTTCACTTTATAGTACTGTACACCTTGTGGTTTGGTGGTGATTTATCTTCCATGACTGAATATTGTTTTTCACATATGCTCTGTCATCATGAGAAGTCTTACAAAGGAAAAGTACAATAAATAAAAATCTTTGTGTTAAATCAAGTCTTGAGGTGGATATTTGTTGTTTATTATGATTTTGATGGGCTAAATTGAGTATATTAGCAGGCATCCAATGAACATGAGGTAATGTTAACAACATTTTACTTACATTTTACTAGTTTGCAGATGTGGGGTTTGGTACCTGAACCAAAGCGAAATTTGGTGTGTACCAGGAAGAATGCTAATTGTTCCTTCAGCCCAAAAAAGAGTTTAATAGGAAGGACTTGTCAGTTTGATGTATTGGTTTTTGCCCTTAGCTAGTAAAAAAAAAAAAAATAGTGGAGAAATAAATGATCAGTAGACTGGGAAAACTGGAAATCATGAAGCCTTTCCCAATATCTTTTAATTCTAATACCTTCCTTCTGTTAAATATTTCCTATTAACCCTGTATTTGGCTTGCTTTGTATATATTTATTTGCATGTTGTCTCTCCCATTAGATTGTAAGCGTTTCGGGGGCAGCAACTGTCTTTTGCTTCTTTTTGTATCCCCAGTGTGCCTAGCACAGTGCCTAGAATATTGTTATTAAGTCATTTTTCAGTCGTGTCCAACTCTTCATGACACCATTTGGTGTTTTCTTAGCAGAGTTACTTGAGTGGCTTGCCATTTCCTTCTCCAGCTCATTTCACACACTGTGACAAACAGGGTTAAGTGACTTGCTCAGGGTCACACAGCTAGTAAATGTCTGAGGACAGATTTGAACTCACAAAGTTGAGTCTTCTTGACTCCAGGCCAAGCACTTTATCCATTGCACATGGCATATAGTACTTGCTTAATAAATGTTTACTGATTGATTGCTCTATTAATTCCAGAGCAGAAAGCGCAATTTGGTAGCATGTTTCCAAACAATCTTTGGGTAGAAGAACCTAGTCAGAAGTCATAGGTTCATTGTTGTTATTGTTTGTCCTTTGTCCTTGAAAAGGACCCATGACCTCAGGAGGGTGATATCTTGACTTGCAAGTGAATTGGATTTAAGTGAGGCGGAGCAGTGCAAAGTCATCAGCCTCACTTTCTCCTCCAGAGTCATCTGAGTCCAGTGGCAAGACATAGATCAGGATGAATGGTGACAGTCCTAGATGCAGTGGGAAACCTTGGTCTTCATAACCTAGGGTCTTTCCCAGGTCTCAGCTTGTCTGAGGCAACACCTATTCAGTGATTAAAAGCTAGGTAAGGATTGAAGCAAAAGACAGCCTAGTTTGCCTTGACAAAAGAAATCAGTCTGGGAGGGGAAGGCCCTCAGAGTTTCTGGACAGAACAGAAACAATTGCTATTTACACTCACGAGGAGCCATCAAAACCCAAACAATGACC